CAGGCACTTTTATCCACCAACCTGTCAGGACAGACACTTTTATCCACCAACCTGTCAGGACAGGCACTTCTATCCACCAACCTGTCAGGAAAGGCACTTTTATCCACCATCCTGTCAGAACAGGCACTTTTATCCACCAACCTGTCAGGACAGGCACTTCTATCCACCAACCTGTCAGAACAGGGACTTTTATCCACCAACCTGTCAGTACAGGCACTTTTATCAACCAACCTGTCAGAACATGCACTTTTATCAACCAACCTGTCACTCATTTTCATTAGTATTTCCAAAAATGTTATCATCTGATTTAGTGATCATCTCACAATTTACAGGACTTTCATGTGAGATCTTCTTTACATATCACAGCACTTGCAAACCCTTATGTTATCAGTCCTTGGTAAAATGCAAAGTTTACAGAAACTTCTAATTGTATAACGCTCCACAAAAATAAAATATTGTTATTTTTACATATTTGGAAGAAGCAAAGAAAGGAAGAAGAAAATGAAATAAAAAATTTGGGTCATCAGTTAAGTGAAAATCACTCAATAAAATACAGTGAAAGTAGAATATTTTGTCTTTTTTAGGGCATTTTAGCAATGTTTCCAATGGTAAGAATTTTGCTTGGTGACATATGGTGAAAAAATTATATCGCTTCTTACAAAATATTTTTAATGTCTAGAAGAATTGACAATATTTTCTGTGGCTTTTTAATGAGGAAATGTGTTTAAATTGTGGCCTCTGGAAATCGCTGCTAGGGCAGCATTTTGTGTGCATTATTATAAGACAGAATGACAGCGAACCGAAAAAGTTACATAATGTTGTCTAATACTAAAACAAATAATTGTAGATAAATTTTGACACAGAATATTGACATTTCTATATGCACTAAAATATACACACATGTCGTGATTTGTGACTAGAATTCTACCTTAACATAAATTACATGTCAAATGCACATCTCTAATTATACATGTAAGGTCTTAAATACTCAATAGCTGTAACTATTTTAAAATGACTTACTTTTTTGAGTTGATAATTGAGTTTGAGACCCAATCTAGTAAAACTTGTTCTTTATTTGGAAGATAACACTGACTGGATATCCAAGCAAACTTTGCTAATTGTAGTTTATCACTCCATTTTGTATCTCTGTCTTTTAACTTTTTATGTATACCTGAAAAAACAAGTCAAGTCATGACATAGCCCCTGTTAGTGAACCTAAAATAATAAAACATGAATATGCTATGAGATTACTTAGAAGTTTGAACATAGGCAGTAAAATACGGTGTCTATATCGACTGATGCATGGCAGACGTCAACAGTACAGTATGGTGTCTATATGGACTGATGTATGGCAGACGTCATCAGTACAGTATGGTGTCTATATCGACTGATGTATGGCAGACGTCATCAGTACAGTATGGTGTCTATATGGACTGATGTATGGCAGACGTCATCAGTACAGTATGGTGTCTATATCGACTGATGTATGGCAGACGTCATCAGTACAGTATGGTGTCTATATCGACTGATGCATGGCAGACGTCATCAGTACAGTATGGTGCCTACATTTGTATATCGACTGATGTATGGCAGACGTCATCAGTACAGTATAGTGTCTATATCTACTGATGCATGGCAGACGTCACAGTACAGTATAGTGTCTATATCACTGATGTATGGCAGACGTCACAGTACAGTATATTGTCTATATCGACTGATGTATGGCAGACGTCATCAGTACAGTATGGTGTCTATATCGACTGATGTATGGAAGACGTCATCAGTACAGTATATGGTGTCTATATCGACTGATGCATGGCAGATGTCATCAGTACAATGTAGTGTCTATATCGACTGATGTATGGCAGACGTCATCAGTACAGTATAGTGTCTATATCGACTGATGTATGGCAGACGTCAACAGTACAGTATAGTGTATATATCGACTGATGTATGGCAGACGTCAACAGTACAGTATGGTGTATATATCGACTGATGTATGGCAGACGTCAACAGTACAGTATGGTGTATATATCCACTGATGTATGGCAGACGTCATTAGTACAGTATGGTGTCTATATCGACTGATGCATGGAGACGTTATCAGTACAGTATGGTGTCTATATCGACTGATGCATGGCAGACGTCATCAGTACAGTATGGTGTCTATATCGAGTGATGTATGGCAGACGTCATCAGTACAGTATGGTGTCTATATCGACTGATGCATGACAGACATCATCAGTACAGTGTGGTACCTATATCGACTGATATCGACAGTCATTTTCAAAGTAAAAAGTATTGTTGATTTCTAACAAAATTCAAACTGAGCCATATCATGGTAAATTATATGTTATTTTACCATAACATAGAGCTTTCTATGAAGAAGTGATTCAATAAACGATATACAGGGGTATTTATTACTCGAACATTTATTACACTATTTTGTAATAGATCTGAAAGATAAAATGCATTAACTTTAAGTATCACATATTAAAATATGGCTTCATACAAAATGACTACAAATTGAAACATTAGTCATGTTGTTTTTACATAACAGAGCCAGGGAATGCAATGTCAATGTTTCTAATGTATTGTTTTTTTGCAAATTTGCATCACTGAAATCGACAACTGTCATGCGAATTATTGAAATCAACAAGTCAGAGAATGGGTAGGGTTGCTGGGTGTGGTGTCTGGCAGATATGTTTTTTTTTGTACATTGGTGTCATTGAAATCGACAACAAATCAGTCATGTGAGCTAATCAACAACTGCATATCAGTGAAGCCGGAGCATCACTTGGCGTGTAGACTGGCAAAGTCGGGACTTCTTTTTTGTTTTACAAAAAGAAATAATTGACTGTTCATTTAGTCCTTTTAGCGTGATTGCGAAAACTAACCTGACCGCTAAAGAAATCCAGACTGGACGCATCTGCGAGCATTTGACTGCTACATGTATGATGTCATTGATTATTCATAAGTGGGTTTGTGAAAGTAAACACCTTTTGAAGGTTGATTCGATTCGATCCCAGAGATGGATACTTTAACTTTCTAAGTGCGAAGGTGATTTAAATGTACAATATATAAGTAGTCTTTTAAAATCGCAGGGACATCAGAAGTGAAAGGTCACATACAATAACATAGATAAGATACATTGTATGACGTATACAGATGCACTCTGATTCGTTGTCAATGCTATTCAACAACTTATAATTAGCATAATCACCAGTGTGATTCCACTCCGGTGTTCACAGGGGTCGGCTGCAGATGCGGTCAGTCGGGATTTCTTCTGCAAAAAAGAAGTCTCGACTTTGCCAGGCTACTGGGTGTGTTCTGTAGCAGATATGTTATCTGAACATGAAATGCCGCTACATATAAACTTTCGAAACAGACATCATCATGAAAGAAGGTGATAATTATTGACCATTGACCACTTCA